GGATTCCAATAACTTATCCACGGGATTACAAATACAAACTTCCTGGACCAATAGAGGACCAGAAAAGGTTCCCTATAGAAACCAAATGTGATCTTGGGAGATGCAGCCCTTCCAATCTCTTTACTCATGCAGCACAGATATTAACATAGACTTGGACACAGGCTAAGTCAGCCCCACGATTAACAAGGGCATGTCATCTGCTTTCCTTCACAGGCCATCCTGTCAGTTTTTGTTGCTGTCCCCAAGGTATATTTTTCTTTTGCTCCTCAGGAATCCATCATTATCTACCAGTGTAAATTCCTTCTTGGATAAACAATGTTCTCAATACAGATCTGAGGAGTTCTATAATAATGCTATGCTAATAATGCTTCTTTTACGTTATGCTTCGATGTTAAAGAATATTAGTAAGTACTCTTTTGATCAACTATCACTCCATATTAAAATACCTTGCCTAATGAAAAAAGTTACAGAATACAGATATTTATGAAAGAACCATTCTAAAACCTCTATGTAGTCTATTTGAAGAGAAAGCTTCCTTTCATAAATGCTCCTAATTCCTGGTCTTCAAACATCTTATAATTCTTTCTTTCTTTTAAAGAGAATAAAAACAATTAAAAAAATAAAAATGATACATAATTCCAAAACAAGATGATAGGAAATCAGTAATGGTTGTTAGATTGCATGTTGTTATCTCCAAAATAGTTGCTCAGATTGCCAGGTATAGGCATGCAAAACTGATCAAACAATTAAGCATTAACTGTTTCTTTCAATAAACCAATAGAAAGTAGCAGTAAATTACTATATATATATATGTAAATATATATAAATCATACGTATATATATGTAAATCATATATGTATATATGTAAATCACATCCTCAATGATTGTCTTGCGAACTGCAGATGCACACATCCTGCTTCGGAGCTTAATGATGCAGACACCAACAGCAATACACAGGTGCCACGAGACAGCCGCTTTCTCTATGCTGGGATTTCTTCTGTTACGTCCTGACTTTGGCACAGCATTCACTTGCAATCAAGAGCAACAAAAGAAAAATCGCTGGCTTACGTCTCTGGAGAACTTCCTTCAAGTTGCTCTCCATTCCATCTCTGCACTGGGGAAGAGTATGCTCACTTGTTTCATGGATCATATTCTTCAAATTTTCAAGAACTCTCAGTTCCCGAAGACCACGTTTTTCCTATAAAAAGAAAATAAATATCTAGCATGTATAGTGTCTTTAAAATCTTAGTAATAACTTTCTGACGTTTCCACCCAGGTTTCAATTCTTATATTACTTACTATTGAAATTTACACAGCCTTCTTCTAATTACATGCCAGTCAACCATGTCACAATCTGGCGGTACTTTTAAAATTACAAAATGCTCCACAAGTTGCAAAAATGAATAGTATTTTTATAATAATGTTTAAAAATTGGAAAATAAATAAAAGAGAAAGACTGTCATTTGAAATCAGATACTTGATCTAATTTTAAATTTCATTTTGTTCTTATGCTGCTTCCACTGTTATGCATCATACTTCTTCCTCTCAAAATAAAACGAATGGTAAAAGTTATGACATATATAGATACTTCTTGCTGGGCATGGTGGTGCATGCCTGTAATTCCAGCACTCAAGAGGCTGAGGCTGGAGGACTGCCATGAGTTCGAGGCCAGCCCAGGCTACATGGTGATGTCAGGACCAGTCTGGACTATACAGCAAGACCTTGTCACCCACCCAAGGATCTACGGATACTTTCATAAAAGGAACAAAATGAACAGTGAAGGCTGGAGACTGCTGACTTAGAAAAGCCCACTTGCAGGGTCAGTCTTGTCTGAGGGCTGGACACTTGAGCAATAAACAGTTCCCTTAAACTGGTATTAAACTTTCCATAAACTATAAAAGTGGCTCACTGTGCTGAAACTGTTGGTACAAATACTGCAGTTAATGCTCTGTACCTCTTTCCTCTTGGGAGTATGGAATTTGGGTCGACTAGGCAGAGGGAGGCCAAAGAGAAACCCCAGACTCAGGTTTAGGCAAACTATCTGGGCAGCTTGCTCTTTCCATGTGCTGTTACAACTGGTTGCTCAGGGAGTAAGAGCATCCTGTGTGGCTGTGGGGAGACGACTATACTTCTGCTTCCAGGCACCTTTCCCTTTGTTGATTTTCTCTGTGTCTCTTTGTCACAGTAAGGTACAGCCATGATACAGCCACATGCTGAGTTTAAGTTCTCCTAGTGAGCAGCTCAACTGGAATGGTCCTGGAGACTTTCTCCTACATTTGTGCAAAAGGTAGTGTTTAACCAGCCTGTCTACCCAACATGAGAGTACAACAGACTTAGTGACTTGCTTCCAAACAGCAGACCAGGGAAAGAGGAAAACACTTCCCTTTATGATGGTGAAATCTAGCAAGTGTTACCTCAACCAAGCGGTACAGGTCCATACAAGCAGGATCCTGTCACTGGCTTGTACCCCCAGACATGGTACTTCTCCTGAGTTTTCCTCTGCACAACCCATGACCCCAATCTAAGGAGAAAAACATCAGAGAAAGCAAGAGTGGGAGGCATTCTACCAGATATCTGGCCAGCATTCAAGACTGCTGAGGTCAAGAAAATAAGGACAGACTGAGAAACATCAGAGACCAAAGCTAGGGAGACATTATAATTAAATGGAAGGAGGTACTCTGGATTCAACCCTGAAACAGAAGACTGTAATGGAAAGATCAGAGAAATTCAAATAAAATCTGGTGTTTCATTAATAGTCATGTGCCAATGACGGTTTCTTAGTGTTTACCAACATGCTACAGTAATATAAAGCTTTAATAGTAGGAGACATTGGGTGAGGGGTAGAACACTCTCTTACTATCTCTGCAATTTTTTGTAAATCCAAAATTAATACAAAACAAAAGTTCACTAGGAAAAAGAGGTAGAAAACAACCGTAACAAAAAATAAGCCAGGAGTAGTGGCACATGCCTGTAATCCCGGCACTCAGGAGGGTGAGACAGGAAGATTGTTGGGAGAGTTTGAGGACAGACTAGGCTACAAGTTCAAGATCAGCCTGAACTACATAGTGAGACCCTGACTCAAAAACAAAACAAAAACAAAAACAAAAACAAAAAAAAAAAAAAAAAGGAAGGGGATAGAGTTGTAAGAAAACAGTAAGTTAATTAGGTTTTTGTTTTGGGCCATCCAATGAAGTAGCTGAAGCCAGGTTCTTAATTTTTACTTTATTTTTACTTTTTTTGTATTTAGTGCACGGTCTACAGGGTCT